CTTTTACCTAATAGCACCCTTGTAAGTACCTCCACATAAACGGTAATGGCTGGAAAGGCAGGGCACTGCTTCCACAAGGTATTTGGCTCCTGTATTTTGCACTGGCCTGGAGGCATGCTGTCATTTTGAACCGTCATCGTACGTACACTCTGTGAACGTGCCCTTGGCGGCTGTCTGAATACTGATACCTCCAGACTAATTTTGTTTTTTGGCTGGGAGTGGGAAGCGCTGCAGGGGCTGTGTTTATAGCTCTAAAACAACCCGTATCTATGTGTATGGCAGCCTAGGGACTACCCAGGCACAGACAGCACCTTTCCACATCCCTGAGGCAGCCAGCGTTTGCATGAGGTGATGGTAGAAGAGGGCTAATTGCTTGACCCCCTCAGCATGAGCCCACAGAGGAATAAATGCAAAGCAAAGGGAGCAGGCAAGGAATGAGTTTGCTAGTTGGCGTAATGGGGGTTGATTTGGGTCCAGCACTCCCAGGAGAGGAGCTGGAGATTATTAAGCTTGGTTATTAACACTGTCTTTCACTGGGGCCATGGCTATGATCTACCAAACAGTAGCAAATGGGTAAGCAGGAGTGGGGAAGGGGAGAGGATGCAGCCCGCGGTTCTGTTTTACAGCCATCTGAAAACATGCGGTGGTGCGTGGATGGGGGAAAAGGACCATTGCCAGTAGAGATGGAAACACCAGCTGGGTAACGGGCAGGATGGGAAAGACTTGCACTGCCTCTGCTCCGCCATGGAGCAGGCCACTTGGCTTTGGTGGGCTGTGCCTGGCTCTTGGCCCTGCAGGGATATTACAGTGTTCGTTCTGTAATGCTGCAGCACGGGTCATGGCTGTCAGCCCAATATCACAAAGCACTTTGCAGAGGAGGTCAATGCTCGGTTTACAGCTCAGTGCCTTGAGCTCCCAGGAGGCAAAGCTGGCAGCCAGCAGCAGGCCGGTGGCAGCGCTAGAAGGTGCTGTCTAGCCTCTTAGACCAATGTGCTGGCTCCTAGACCAGTGGGCTGCAACCTTTTTTAGACTCGGGGGCACCCCTTGTTCAACCTAAGGACCCCCCTTGTTTGACTTGAGGCATTCCTCCAGAGGAGCACGCCATGGTGAGCACATCCCAGTGGTGAAACGCAAGGGAGGGGGCAGCGACTGGGGCACGTTTGGTGTGGCATGCACGTTTAGGTCTTGGGTTAAAAACATCTGCCAGTACACCTGGTGGGTGGTCACACCGCCAGTGCCCAGAGAACGGAGCCGCCATGCTACCCCTCTGCAAACACACCCTGCGCTGTGGGCTGAGGTCACTGCATTCAGCTAGTTTTCCCTTCCCACAGCCAGCCTGCTCCGTGCCCCCTCCCATCCTTTTTCTTCCAGGACCTTCCTGCAACACATGGATGCCCTTTCTCTGCGAGTGTCTTGGCCCACCCCTTCTCCCACGCTCTCTCTCCCCTGCCAGCAGGTCTGTGTGACCCCCGAGCCACCCCTCAAAGCTTTCCTTTTGGCCTGCACAGCATGTTGTGCACTCGTATTATGGTAACTCATACTTACTTCAAGGAGGTGGGACTGAGCCAGGATGGGAACGTGATGGTGCTGTTTCCAAGTGGATGAGGATGCTCTGGGGCTGCAGGTGTCCATCCCCCCACCCCCTGCCTTCCAGTTTTCTAATTTTCAGCTCACTCAGTTGGGTTTTGCTTGTGGGTTTCCCCTTAATTTTGAACACTTCTGGTGGTATCACATCCACACCTGTCAAGGTGTGGGGGGTGGGTTCTCACTTTGCTCAGCCAATAAAAATGCTAAGAAATGGCATGAGGCTAATGAAACAGCAGAGTGCTGTGGAAAAGTGGAATATTTTGGTGCCCCGTAGCAATGACAAAGCTTCGCTTCCTGAGCAGCTGGCAAAAGCGTTCAATGGTTTTGTCCAGCTTCACTTTGCTTTATTGTCAAAATTTTCTCTTTATGCATCTTGAGGGATTTCAGTGCAGCAGGCTGCATCGCACAATCTCTGGCTGTGCCAGCTCCGAGGCGGTGTGACTTTGACAGTCAATAAGAAGTCAGTGCCCATCCCCCCCCCAGTGTGTAGAGGCTGATTAATCGAGTAGCAAGCACCTGACCCCATCTTTTCAAAGGAATAATAAGCTCTGTGCATCTGGAGTTAAAAACTCTCCTTGAACTAGAAGTTTGACCTGAAGGAGAGACAGTACGTCACTTGGTCTTGGGTTGAGGAGGGGAGGCAGAGCAGGGCAGAGGGGTAACCAGAACGTCCAACTTGGGGGAACTTCGGAAACTACAGCAGAGCTTACACAGCAAAAGGCGCCTTTCCCAGGTTGGGCAGATGCTGCAGCTAAGGATGGGGGGAAAAGGCAAGAAACCTAGTGCTTCACTTTAATCCAAGGGCAGCAGAATACCCTACAGGGAGAGGTATTATGCCTAGTAGATTAGCAGAACAGAAAGGGAGAGCATCTGTGTTAAGGGTGAGATTACCACCCTGCTACCCCAATCAGTCCAAGAGTGGCCCCGGGGGTCTAGAGTGCAATCTGGGAGTAAGAAGGGTACAGCCCAGCAGCTCCACACCTACCGATTTTTTTTTTTTTTTTTTTTTTTTTCCCCCTCTCTCCAAGCCCTCCCACTCCCCCATCCTCATGCCCTCTTACCCCTGTTTCACCCTTTTCTCCTCCTCTTTACTCATCTACTGCCTGGTTGTCCCCAGGTGTCAGTCCAGAGCTGTAAGAGCCCTGGATAATGGCTAGTCCACTTGGGAGCAGTGCCTCCTGAGATATGGGGAGGGACTGCCAATTGGTGGTTTTATCTCAGGTGAACAGCCAGAAATTAACTTAACTCAAGCTGCGTCGCACAGCTCAGAGATAATCACCACCCAAAGTGGCATAACTTTAAGATGCCGAGAGGGCATGTAGCAGCTGTTAACGATCCTTAATGTGTGACCCTTCAAGTTTTACATGTTCTTAACATGGTCTAGTTGTAATATGTAATCTCAGCCTTAGGGCCAAGCAGTACCAAGTGGCTTTCACTTTCACCTGGAGACTGTCTGCTTGATTGCCTTCTAGACAGGGCAAGGAAAGAGAAAGTGATATATTTTACTCCTGTATCATCGTCAGAAGCAGCAGACATGTCCTGGCAATATGAACAAGAAGGGTTTTCTCCTTTCATGCTGAAATGTTTTAGTATGTTGCCTCTGCACCCTAGTGTCCTGGTTTTTGATTTGATTAAAAACAGCACATCCAGCAACTAAATTATTTGTTTCCTTATCAAACTAGCTAACAAAGATAGCTACCCAGGGTGGTAAAATAATGTTTTATTCCATGGATGAACAAACACTACCATGCCACATCCTAAATTTCTTTCTACAAAAGATTGTGGACAGAGCAGATTTTTACATTTCTCAGCTCGAGTTCATGTCAGACTTTTGAGCCTGTTGGGTGTAGCAAAATCTGGACACGCAGCATTCTTATCGTCTATTTGGCATGTCGCCTGAAAAAGCGGATTCCGGTTCACAAAATGTCGATGCACTGTAAATGAAAGGAAATAACCAAAACCAACCTAGATTGTTTCTGTTTACCAGTATATCTTCCATGATGGTCAAGTACAACCAACATTCAAAGCATAAAAGAAAAGGGGGGCGGAAAAAAAAACCCCGAAAACAAAACGGAGACCTCCTAAAGAACACCATGGAAACACCATCATTGCTGGCAGGATGCAAGTTTGCCCACAGTACTATGTAAAAATGTAGAAACCTGCATTGACATTCAAGCTGTCAAAACAATGTAAGAAATCACATTAATTGTTATACTGCCAAGCTAGTACTTCTAAAGGGTCCTGATCAGCAAAGGAGTGTTATAGCATGCATGCTGAACACAAGACTAATACTGCATTGGGGACCTGACCAGTCATTGACTTACATTCCTTTATATACAACAAAATGAAATATACAGTATTAATACTGGCTGTACATTTGGTCAGAATATTTTACAAGGAGCGACACTAGCCAAAATCCTCATGATATGGCAACCAGAAGTGAATGAAAAGGTTTTTGAGAATAGAATTTTTTTTTCCAACACGGGTTTTTGAAAGTTGCTTCCCAACCCCATAAAGAATAATGTGGGTTAAGCATTTTCAAGCGCGCACATGATGGTTTTTTTTGTTGTTGCTTTTTTGGGTTTTTTACAAACCTAATGCAAGCAGAAGAGATCATTAAAAGTGCTGAAAATACAATAATCACTGACTTGGAACCAAAATCAAAACTAAGCTGCAGACGGTGCATACAACAAATCCAAGCAAACAGATTTTTTTTTTCCCTCTCTCTCGCTCTCTCTCTTTTTTTTTTAACTGCTTCATGAGATGATCTGCAAAGTTTCTGATACACTTCCCACTACCATAGTCTAGTTCAGCCTCTCAACCGGTTGGCAATGAGTTATTCAAAGTAAGAAAGAAAAAAAAAAAAAGCGTGTCCCTCGCACGGTAGAAGTTAAGAGTAAAAATGCATCGATGATAACAAGGACACGCCTATAATCTTAATTTTCCTTTGTGCGTGTTTTGACAGAGAATCTTTGACCTTGAGGGGTAAGACTAGGCCGGGAGTGGGGGAGCAAGATTTTCTTTGCAATAGACTGTATCAAAATCGTCATTGCTGGGTTACTTCCCACACCCACTACTCTCTCATGACCCCCAGACTGGGGGCTCTGGCCCATGGGGAAACACTGATCGAATCATTGAAATGGGTGTTTTCCGCTCATCCAGAACAAGCGGAGACACTTCTGAGATAAGCATGAGACTAAATGAAAACAGAACAACAGGTAAATAACGAATTAACACCATCAAGGTAAACATCAGAGCAACCACAGCGACACTTTGTACAATGGGAATCTGTATGCCCCACGGAAATGACGAATCTTCTAAGCATGGGAGACAACAGGCAAATTTGTATGAACCAGTACTTTCAATACCTTTAAAATAATTGTGCTATAATCTTTTCCATGTATTAAGTTTTATCTGACGCAATGTGATGCTGACTATGGTAATCATGATACAGATGGTGGAATTCATTGCTACGGCTTGATTGCTTGAATGCTAAGGGCCATCTAATCTTCTAATCCTCAAGGCGGTTTCTTGGGGTGGTCCTTCAAGTCCCATTTCTTGAGTCTTTTACTCCAGAAGTCACTTTGTGGCAAAAAAGGTGATGTCATTTATGATGGGTTCCTTCTGACAGCAGGTTCTGCTGAGTTCGTCATGCTTAATGTTCTTCCATTCAGGAAGGAGTTGCTGTCCTGTAAAGCAGGCGGGCTGCTTTCAGTTTTGTTTAAATACATGCTAACGACATAACACTTCTTTCTCCAGGAAAATGGATTCACTTGCATATTGTTATAGAGAAGAGCCTTGTGCTTGGCACGGACCAGAAGGGCTAATCCTCCTCCTCGTCTTCTTTCAGCGTGACTATCGGGACCTTGTCCTGAACTTGGAAGCATTCCACAAAGAAGTTGACAACCGACCTGTACAAGTGTTGCTCAAGTGCCGCACTCGTAAAATAATGGCTTTCATCGGGGTATATCTGCAATGGAACCAAAGAGACGCTGAGCAGGTTTACAATACGATGGGCCTGAGCCAAAGTCATAGTTTTGGCCATGCTTCTTCCAGGGCTGACCTCTGTGGCTTAAGCCCAACGTTCAGTTGTGAACATCAGTGCAGATGCTCTCGTATGGCATTTAAAGCTGCTTCTTTAGACTACTTAAATTGGGACTATCCGTGTCACCTAGAGGTAGCGGCAAGGAGTCAAAGACAGAGGAGGAAAGGGGACCCTAGAGACTCCAGTAGCAGCAACCATGGCATCAGTGGGAACGGTGCGGGGAATGGTAGCCCCAGAGCTGCAGGTTAACCCCACAGGAGCCACATGCAGCGTACAGGCAGCCATTTGGACAGCTCTGAATTAAAGTTTTCTATTTACAGCAGTTTAGTTAAAGTGGTAATAACCCCTGTGTGGACATTCATTAGACAGTTGGAATTTGTTTCTTCTAATACCTCTTCCTTCAAAGAGGCAAGACACTATTCCAGGTTGTGGGAGCCCTTATTCTCTCCTGTGGAAACTGTGCCACTTTGAATATTTAATTATGCCACGTATTCAGCAAATGAATGGTGATGGTAGTCGCATGGAAGGAGTAGGAAATTGTACTCTTCCTATTTTGGGTGACAGCTCTAATCACCATGGTAGGATAAATGGGCAGATGATACAGCACTACTACCTCTAACTCTGGCCATGTTTTGAAAGGCTTGTCCCCTCTTTTGGTTTTGGAGAGAAACGGCAGGAGAGAATTCAGGCATCCACCCCAGCATAAAGCACTTACTCCATCCCATTCCAAGAGAGAGAGGCACACCCCTCTCCTCTGTGTTTCTATGGGCTGGTATGTAGGCAGCTCCATGCTGGCTTTTGTCAGTTCTTAAGTGCCTGGCCTCATGCCTCGAACAGGGAGCTCAGGTACCCAAGACATGCTATGAACTCCAGGATACAGCAGAGTGCCTGAAAATTAGGTGTTGCTGTCCCAAGATCCTTGATGTGGCTCTAGCCCTTCATTCCCACTGAAAGGACACCAAACCTAAATACCAATATAAAAGTAAGAGAGTGTGTGCAGGCATGTGTGCATGCATGTGCATGTGTACATTTGTATACAGGGGTCTAACAATCAAATTCTGTGCTCTTGGTGGTGACAAGGTCCATGGTGGTGTTAGGTATCATTCTTTTACTCTTCTAAGTGGGTGCCTGGGGCACCTCTAGGTATGCTAGTGTGTGTGTGTGTGTGTGCGTGTGTGTGTGTGTGTGTTTATATATGCACACAGAGCTTTACAATATATGACTTGGCATTAATGCTACCTGCATTGCCATACTGAGCTGAATACAGCTTTTAACGCTGACTTTGGCACATCTGTTTTTTGTTCAAAGGGCAAAATGACTGTTCAGATATGAAACAGGGAAATACTTGCATACTGTACCTGCAAGCTGTAATTAGCCTTTACTCTAATTAGGTGTGCAATAAGGTCCGCAGTATGCTGGAAATGGATTTTTTCTGTAAAACGAGATGAGTATCAATAAGAAGGCAAGTTTAATTGAGAAAAATTAAAAAAACATCATCATGTACTGAGCTAAAAGGATGGGTTAACTTACCGTCAGCCGTAGCATGAATGATCAAAAACTTTTGCTCTTTCAGTAATGAGACTCTGTGTGCTAATTTGGTGATCTGCAAAGGTAAAGGTTGCAAGTACAATTAAGCATCTTGCCAGAAATTAGTGATTTATAAAAAGTGACTAGCATTTAATTATGCTTAATGCCAGGACAGCAGCAGGTACCATCACAATCTCTCCTCTGGCTTCTTGATTCATTCCAGCAGTACAATGGAGGAGAACCCATCCAACCATTTGTGCCTGAACCTTTCACAGCGAGACCTGGACATTAATGTCTTTAGATGTTTAAATGCCCACCCAGAGCACTATGTGAGGAACCCAGTGTAAAACATCTACAGCAACTGCCAGAGAAAGACACCTACAGTGTACACCCCAATCTCACAGATACGTCTCTTCCAGATCTCCCGACTTCAGTGTCTACTTAATGGAGCTTTTAAGGTGTGTCCTGAAACCTGAGCTCTGACAGACCATTGATTTTTTTTCCCTTGCCGAAAGAGGACCCTCTCCCTTTTCCCCCAATGGATTGAGGTTTCAAATGCCTCAGACATCTGCGGCTGCTATAGCATCTCAAGAGAAACAAGAGGTTTCTTCTCCCTTTCCTAAGTTCGTAGGACAGAATTGAGCATGCCTCAGAAGTACATCATTTTGAGATCCTACTGCCTGATGAAACTCCCTGTACCTGGACTTAAGCACAGCAATGCTTGTTCAAGGTGGAAAATCATTTGAGAGCAGTTCTACCCTGAACAGCGTCTATGTAAAAGCATGGAGCTTTCTTACCAACCAGTCTGTGGCCCCTGTTACTAGTGTCCAACACCTTATCTGTGCCTATCTTGAGGCAGTGCTGTTCTCCCTACGTTATAGCAGTTGGTAACCTTCTCAAGTTGCTATGCTCCGGTACTGAATTTTGCAGCAAAGTGACCAGCAGGCAAGCTTAACTTATCTTGGCCTTAGGTGAGATAATATACATGTTATAGGGGTGTAAGCAAAACGGAGACTAAAGACTATCTAATGGGCTGAGCAGCAGCAGGGTTTCATGTGGCCAGTGGAGGAACAGGGGTGGTTTCAACATCTCTGCCTCAGTTTTTCCATCTGTAAAATGGGGGTGATAATGTTTAGCTAAGCTAGAGGGCTACCATGAGAGTTAACAGTTCATCAGGAAACAGCTCGTTACAGAAGGAAAAAAGAAGCTAATTTGGCCGCAGGGTTAAAGGCAAATCATTTTCAAAAGAAGATGGCTCTACTATTCGGCAGCATTGTGTCCCCCTCTGACCCAATGGCACTGAGGAGACGGAGTTAAAGGAATATCTACATTTTACCATAGAAGTAGATGCTAATTCAAAGCTCTGTTTTCAACCCTGTGCAATTACCTCATATGCTCTGTTATCGATCCCGTGTAACCCCAGGTACCTTTCAGAAAAGGCAGAAGCTAGAAAAGAAATAAAGAAAACAAACTGTTTTTACCTGATTGCACAGTGTGCTGCATCAAACTGTTAAAAAAATGTGGCTTTTATTTTTTTAACTCAGCTTTCCTCGTAAGATAATGTACGTAATATAATAGAAAACTGTGAAGAATTAGTTAGCGAATCAATCTGTGATCGCATTGATGGGGAGAACACGTTCATTCTAATAAAGATATTGTCAAAACAAGTCTGCAACTCCAAGGCCCCATCATAGACACCTGCTATGTTAAGCCCTACACCATTTTTCATTATCAGTGTGTACTCCCAGGTGTTAGCAGAGCTCTCCAGTGGCTAAATTATCGCTTCCTGAATGCAATGAAACATAATCAGACCTATCTTGGAAAAGGTCATTAACAGCATTTGGGGTTCAATTCTGCTTCCCTTGAATGCAATGGAACACTTCTCGGCGACTTCAGTAAAGGTTGCACTGCATGGTTCAAACACCATCGACTCTAGTGGACTGTCTCCTGATTTACACCCAGACAACATGGGAGATAATCACACATCTCTCCATTCCCTCTTGGGCAGGCAAGAGGAGAGAGGGAGGCTGCTGTGCCTTCTGGCAGGGAGGAAAATAGCTATACAGGTCTAGAAGGTGGCCTGCAATCATCTCTTCCTTGAATGAACAGGCATAAACCTAGCTTCCTTGGAGTTTTGGAAAAAGAGCTCAATTGCGAGTCCCCAGTGGGCTAGCAGGAGCAACAGTGAGCTGTTCCAGTCCTCCCCAGTGTAACACTGTAAAGCAGGCCCCAATTCTACAAGGACTAACCCTGAGAAAGGCCCCAGCAGCTGAGATGTTTCCAGTGCGACTCTGAAGGCACAGGGCCTGCCCATGCACGGACCTAGGCTTTTTAGACTGAAGTTAGACCTTATTGCAGGGGTGTACTTGGTAGCTGTGTTGGACTGAGACCAGAAGACATACAAAAAACTAGAACTCTGGGTTCCAAAATGGTACCGTTTATTAGACCAACAGGGAAATTGCGAGAAAACTGTCCTTTTCTACAAGCTTTCGGGCTCAAGGTCCCTTATCAGGCTCTGGGAAAAGTATAGATGGTACAAGATGGTTAAAAAGTCCCCAGAGGTAGGAAATAAATGTCATTTTTGCAGAGGGAGCTGAAGATGGAAGGCTGTCCCTCTGTGCAAAAAGACACTTTTCCTGCCATTTCCCAGTTGGTTTAATAAAAGGTATCAATTTGGAACCAAGAGTTCTAGTTTTTTGTACAACCTTATTTTAGGCACGTAATTGAATATAGGACCATGCTCTTTGTAAAGCCATGTCACACCAGATGCCTGCAGTGCACAGGCTTGTTCATTTGCCCAAACGACCATAGGCAGCTTTCCAAACCTGGCTCTGAATGTGTAACAGCATGAAGCAGTTTGGAGGAATTTCTAGTCCAAAAGCTCTGACTGCCCTTATCAACTTTGACTCCAGCTATTGCAATGGGGGTGCACAGAGCAGCAGTAAGCCTGAGATATTTTCTAGTTTTTCAAAAGTCTCCTGGGTTGTGTTTCTCTCACACTTGTATGCATCTCCTCTACTGTTTAGCCATTTCTGCATTAATGGGGTACTGCAGGAGGAGCGACAGCTTGGAGCTGGTGAACCATCAGAGCCGTGGATGGCTGCACTTTGCGTTGGCACCCAGCGTGTGCAAGACAAAAGGACACATGATTTCTGTCATAAAGAGCCACGCAACAGCTGAATTTGAGGCTTTGCGAGTAAGCCCGCTGAAGTCAGGGGGTTAGACTGTCTGAGTCTGTGGGAATAAAGGATTTACAGTCCAGCCCAACCAGACAAACACAGCATGCAGTAGGAGACCCAAAGGTACAGTCTTAGGAAATACAGCAAGGTAAACATGTTTGGAGGATGGTTATTAGCTGACAGGAATTGGTATTTGGGGAGCCTGGAGGAGTTTGGCTTACCATATAATTTGAAATCTGTCAGTGGGGAAAGAGCAGCTCCACATGCGAACACTTGGTTCTCTTCACCAGCTGGAAGGATGTAAGTGCTCAGATAGCCACCGTAATCCTAGAGTACAAACAGCCACATGTTACCTGAGCATGCAAGACCGCCGGGCACCACCACAATCATTGCAGACATTAATCAGCATGAAAATGGCACTGCATCATTTTTTGCTAAGGTGTAGCACTTGGGATAATTTAGGTTTACTAACCCATTGTGTCTGATGAAAAAAGCACTACCTGCTCTCACTGCTATATCTATTTACGTTGTGGTAGCACTTCGAGGCGCTAACCTCATTGTGTTAGGGGTTGTACAAACAAAGATATGCCCACAGCCTGGACTCAAAGTCTGTCTACAAGAGAAGCACTCTTCTGGAACAGGAGTACGAGTGCACTATGCCTGGGAGCTGAGAGACTCCTTACCAGCTAAGAACTGCCTGCCCAGAGGAGCTTTCCATCTATTGACTCCTCTGTGAAATCCTATGAAAGATGAACTTTAATTTCTACCCAGGAGAACTTTTACAATCTTTTATCCAATGCCTGATGAAGGGTGTTTGTGCCCGAAAACTTCCAATTAAAGAATTTTTTTTGCAAAAATCTTGTTGGTCTAATAAAAGATATCACCTCTACCATGAGCCCTGATTGCTTTTTCCTCTAGACCAATATGGCTACAACCTGGATACCTTATACCTGGGAGGCACTCCTAAGTCTGGATTGCAACCATACTGGCAAAGGTGTATCAGTAATACCATGCCTAAGCGAGAAGCAAGCTATGCTGGGAGTGCTGCGTAGCTGGTACAAGTGCCTCTACAACTGCAGAAGTCTGTTGGCAAACTCTTGGTTACGGATCATACCTCTTCACACTCCTGGCAAATACAGTGATGCCTGCAGAGGACAACAGAGCAGATGGCACCCAAGGGACAAAGGTATGATTCACTGGGGATGAGCTGATAAGACCTTAGCCTGGCCCTAAGGTGTGCACGTCATTACACCACACAACACAGTGGTAGGGCAAGGCTCAGGAGAGCAGGATGATCACTAAATAAGAGCTGTTCCAGGCTGCTTACCTACCAGTCATTTGGGATGCGCTGGGACCAGTGAGGCCCAATGTGACAAAAACCTGCTGGCGTCGCACACAGCTGCCTGCAGCTGGGCCCAGTGGTGTTTTCCAGCGATTGGGAAACAGGGTCCCAGGCCCTTGCTGCAGCTCCCCAGTCAGGAAGTCTGATTCTTGCAGTGCCCTGGGAGGCAAATATGCCACTTCGCTTCAGGGTCAGTTTTGGCCCAGGTAAAAAATGCAAGCTTGGCCTTGTGCTTGGCCTGGCCCTGTAGCTTTTTAAACATTTAGTAATTGTTTGTACAGCACCTAGCACAATGACTTTGGCTCCATGATACAGTAAGGAAGACTTTATGCATGGGAGTTACTATCCCAAGAGTCCCAGTTGTCCCCTTGCTGATCTGCACGGAGGGGACTGTCTCTTGTAGAGGGGTCATCACACCCCTCTTCAGTCCTGACTGCGCAGAGGCTGTAGGCACATTGTATGCATTGGGCACACTAACTCAAAGGGTTCTGGGGACAGCAGTGCCCATCAGGAGGTCCTGATAATGCAGCAGGCACAGGGGCTCCAGTCATGCCTGTTTTTGGCCCCTGAGGAACCTGCATGTTTGGGGGCAGCTCTCTTGGTCCCCATATGAAAACTCCCCTCTTTCCCCAGACGTACTTCTGCAGGCTATTTCTAAGTGAGGAATAATCGGGGACTGCTCGTGTGAGCAAAGTAGCTCACACATCTGCCTGCAAGTGGGACCTACGTTCACAGGTTTAAATATGGCCTCTGTCTTTTGCCAGGTCTGCAGAGCTGTCATCTTAGTATCATCCGGGCTTATCTTTCCTATCTGATGCAATGAATCAATTCCAAATCCAGGAGGTACGTCTTCCCTCGCTCCCTTTGAAACGGTGCCTACTGAGAACTGACATTAGCAGCTTATTGTCTGCACTGGCCTGCAAACAACTCGGATACAGGGATTTTCTTAGCTGTTCAGTACTCCTCACCTCCTATCGCTATACATCTATTACAACAATGATTTCCCCCAACGCTCCCTCTATCTAATGTCCAATAGCATGCATTTTGCAATTAATGCTTCTCAACTCTCCACACACCGTGGTGTGATTCAGCTCAGAAATCAATAGCTTTGTTCACATTTATACAATACAAGCCAGATGCACCCACAATCCGTAAAAGACACGTTGAAAATTAAGTGAAAGTTCACATAAAAAATAATTAAGTACCTGACAACATTTTCCTGACAAATAGTTAGTGTGAGCGTCCCTTTCAAGCGAAGTTGAAAGGAGACATTGATGAATCGTTGGATGTAATCTTTACAATCTCAAACATCAAGCAATCTATTTTAAAAAAAACTCAGCACACACATGCCACTTAGTAAATCAAGATTAATCCCAAAAGGTTAAGTATACCGGCAAGCTAAAACAGAGTATGAATAATGGGAAATGTTTACCTTCCCAAATACACCCACTCGCATTTTATCAATATAATGTTCCTTTGACATTGTCCTAAAATATGAAATAGATAAGAAATATTCAGTTAAAAAAACATCCTGCCTTTAGCTATAGGAAACACATGATGTCAGAGCTGGGCTTAAAGATTTCATCACCTTGAGCTGCAGATGACTGCATTATCTACAAGTGATTACATTACAATGACTATGCAGCCCAAATTCATGCTGATGCCTCCTGCTTTTGAGCAGCTCTCTATTAACGTATGCTTGGTCTTTTTTGTCCTTTGACCTAGGGCGAGATAATGGACTATTTCAGGTACATCAGGCAGAACATGTCTCTTGTGAACCTGAAACCATCACATGAACTCATACGTTTTGTTAATTATGACTGGACAATTGCAGCACAACATACTACCTGCAAAACTAATAAGAAAATTGCTATCCATGTGCAACTCTAATGGTGTCATTTCTTCCCTGATTTGGATGAAAATTACAGGGACGGTAGCCCTTTCTGAGGACATGAATCCTGCCAAGTTTCAAGGAGATAGGTGCAGAGGTTTCTCAGAAACTGCACCTCAAACTTCAAAAAGTAAAACTCGTGACACTTGCCGGCAGCATGCAGATCTGGGGGCTCACACCCCACGGAGGGCTGCAGGGCTGTGATGGACTCCTCCCAGGGGTACAGGCCCCCGGATCTGTGCTAGATGACCGGAGACTGCCACCTGGAACTGGTGCTGGGTGCAGCCTGTGCCCAGCACCAGGGAAGACTGATGTTGCTGCTGGCCCCAGGCAGCAGTGGCAGCCTCCTCTTATCCGGCCCGGTGGCGGGAAGCAGGGGAGAGCCAGGGCTGTGCTCCGAGCGGCTCTGCAGCCCCATGGAGCTCAGTTCAGCAGCAGGAGGTGAAGCACAGCCTTGGCTCTGCTCACCTCCTGCCACCGGGCTGAGCTCCATGGGGCTGCGGAGCCTCTTGGAGCGCAGCCCTGGCTCTCCCCAGCCTCCCGCCACCGGGAGGCTTCGAAACTTGAAACGTTTCGAAATGTTTTGAGTGCCATCATTTCGTTTCAAAGTTTTTTGTTTTGTTTCGATTTTGCTGTTTTGAGCTCGAAACGCGTCAAAACAGGTTTGAAACGAAACACTCGGTGAAATTTTGCACAGCCCTAGTAGACAGGAGGAACAGGAGGAGGAACCTGGAGGCTGCAGTGGCAGCAGCAGCCAGAGTGGTGGGGGAAATGGCTCCCAGACCAGGAGCTCCAAGACCACAAGTCAACCCTTCAGGGATTGGATGCAGCCCATAGACAGCCCGGTGCTAGATGCTTAACCTTGAGAAAGTTGACTTGAACTCAGCAATAGGTTATTGCGACCGGCTCTTGTCTTGAGTTACAGCAACTGTTTTGCAGGAAGGCTGTGAAGCAGTGTTAAGGCCTCAAAGCTGGTCCTTCTTTTAGCATTGCAGTGGGGCTTCATCCAAACCTGAACACTTAAGAATGAACCTCTCTTAGCCTCCTCTCCCAAATATTTTAAAACAGACCTTTGTCCTTAATCCCTACTGATGTCAACATGGGAACACATGCAGTCCTTATATAGTGACCTTCCATTGCCCCTAGGGAAATGTGCAGGAATAGTTTCACGCTCTTTATTCAGCACGTGGCTTCAACTGATTGTGAAACAGCACTCACACACATGAGAAGCATGGTTGAATCGGTGCATGTATTCATTTAAAAGGTATTTTCTAGTGTCTGGATCAAAGCAAAGAGCCTTTTAAAACACATTCTCATTACAAATGCTCTTTGCTTCTATACACACAGTGTCACTCACCGGACAGCTTCCAACTGATCCTTCTCTTCTAAAATGCCCAGTCTTCTTCTAACTTCGTGTAACAACTTAGTCCCTTGAAATCCACTTCCACGGCCATCAAACTTCATGACTATTGCGTTGTGGGAGCTGACCAGCACGCTTTCCCAATTCACTTCAAATTTTTCTGTCACGCTCTGGCTACCGGGCGTTCCATCCCTGAAGTAGGAACAGATGTTGAGCAAATTTATCTTATGTATTCTTAATGAATAATGCCAAGATTAGCAGTCACACTGGGCTAGAACATGGTTATACAATTATAATCTATTTACAAGACAATTGGAAGACCAACCTGCATTGGTGCTATGTGTATTCTATGGTGATAGAGTTTAGAAGAGAGTCCCTGGTAATCTGCCTTCAGGTTATATAGGGACAGAGAAGTCTGATACGCGGGTGTCTGATGTTGGAGTGTAGGCTGTAGCAGGGTTTTCTAGCTATTTACCTGCCTTACATTTTCTTGGAGCAGCCATCATTAATGTCGCTTCAGCCACCACAGGTTTCTCCTCTCTTGGAGGCCTGTGCTGCATGCCCATACCCCGCTGTGCTGCTCCTCACTTCGTCACATTGCAAGCTCCCCCCCAAATGCTGCAAATGAACCAGCAGTGCCGCACCAGCACCCCCACACCACATGGGCCTGGGCTCCCTCAGTCCCACAGACTCGGAGGACTGTGGACTCGTATCTATAGATGGGGTTGTCACTTGTTTGGTGCCACTATTGTTTCAAATAGGCAGAACAGAAAGGCAAATTAAAGGAGAAAAACAGATGATCAGACAAAGGACTTCAAAACCTGTCCGGTTCTCGCTGCAGTGAGTGGGTGCAGTGCCCAAATGAATGGGGGCTCCCCTAAGCCTGCAAGGCAAAGCAGAGACACCATGCACTCTCATGTCCTTAACCCAGCTGTTTTTTCTGGTGTCCAACCATACAGTTTTCTCTGCCAGATTAGGTCCTTGCATTACATTGCCTGCTCTCTGAAGCAGTCTCAGTCTTACAAACGTCATGAGAAATACACAGGATCACATGAACCAGCAACCACAACTAAGCTGAACATTTTCTTCAACTCTGTTGTTCCAAGCAGAAAAAAGAGGAAATGGCTGCCAGGGGAAAAGACGTTGTTCAGTTTGTGCTAAATGATTAGGGGGTCCCGGCACTTGTACCCACTTCAGCTATGTTTGTGAGTTCCCAGAGACAGGAGGAAAAAAAAGCCTGTCGCATTTTTAATGTGCGTGTGACTTTAGTTGTTTGCATTGACTCAACAAACGACCAGACACATCCAGGTTCAGAGGCAGCCTAATCAAGTGTTGTTAGCTTGATGAGTACCAATCTTTCTCAAGCACTTGTATAATGAAGTACATTTTCTGCAAGATAATTTGGTGATGTAACGGCATGTTTATTGCAGTGGTTTTGCCCTTCGTCAAGGGAAGCTGCAGGCAGGATGGTATTTTGGTATTCAGCAGCAATTGCCTTCTTCATTCCTCAATCTGTACTTGAAAGTACAGCTAATCAGTATGACACAGGAAAGCCATGGAAGACCTATGAAGATTTTTCCAAATTCATCTAATACTTCCCCTTGATTCTTTAGGCATTTTTGGAAAATCTCAGGTTTATGATCATCCCCTTCAAAAATGGATGGCAGGCTTTTGCAAAAACTTAGCAGCAAAAGCTGTCCAAGTACAGGCCACTGACTGATACTCTGCAGGAGAAGGGATACAATGTGATGGTGCAAGCGCAGGACACTGGGGCACTTGGAGAATGTGACTTGAGCAACCAGGATATCCTGAAAGCCTGTAGGGTACTCTGTTGCTAGTCAAAGTGGGTTAGACATTGCTGTTTCTAGAACCAAAGGGCAGGGCAACTATATGTGAAGTTATTGTGCAAGCAGCTCATTATAGACAGTAAGTACTTTAAAGGTGCTAACAGAAGTAATGGTTTGTCATGTGATTGGGCCCCTGAAATGCTCTACATCCATGCAGTGACAGAAGTGCATGGCTGCAGAGCACTTTAAAAATGCTCGATCATGTGACAATCTAAACCCTCATTATATGAGGGTTCAGATGAAGGTACTCCAGAGCAGAGCCTTTCATTAACATCTGCCAGTGCATGCCAGGAGTGGGGCTGAAGAAGCCCAGCCCTGTCCCCAGTGCTCCCTTCAGAATGGGAGGGGGAGAAGGCAGGGAGGGAGTCTCTTCTGGGGTTTGCCCAGCCTGCATTAAAGGGTGGCACGGGTTGATCCACCCACTGCACTCTACAGAGCAGGCTGGGCAAACCCCAGACTGGGCTCCCTCGGCCCTTTCCCCTTCCCATTCTGAAGACAGCATGGGAGCTGGGAAGGGAGAGGGGTGGGGCTAGGGGAGAGCAGCTGCAGACACACAGTCACTCCAAAATGTAGCTTGATTCATCCCCCAACCCCAACAAAAATATCTGTTGGGTTCAGGGGACTGCTGTAACTCCAGGCGCTTCCTGCAAAGCGCTATGAGTTGCAGCAGGGTGCTGCACATCTAATTTGCTCCCAGTGTTTTTAAGTTGCCAGTACAGTCTAGAAGGAAGACAACACATCTTGCAATGCAGCATTTGAACATGGGTGGGCTCAGCCAGTCCTGTCAAGAGAATTCTAAGAAATTATAATATTACCATAGCTAGGTGTGCGTGAACTGGCCTGAAAGAGGGTGCAAAAATGACAGTCACCCCTGTTGGCCTGGCAACTGTCATTGCCCAGGACCTAAACACATCCTAGTTATGCCTCCTAATTGAGGATTCATGCCAGGGAGGTGGGATGGGGCAGATACAGGTTACAAAAAATGACTCCTGCACTTAATTGCATTGCTGAGAAAAACTGAGTTTGCAATGTTCTGCTGGGTTTAAAGCAAATGCTTGGTAAGGCTCTGTCCATTTTTGCCCAGGGCAATTTAAAGGGTTTATGGATATGTTTGAAAAAACTGCTGACTAGTTTGGAAGAGTGGAGTGGAGCTGACATTATTTATTATATGTGGTGGAGAGCTGATAGAAGTTGTTCAGAGAAAGCCCTATCTGAAGCCCTACCTGAAGATCTTTTAAGGAAATCCCTTGTTTCTACTCCTTCTGCTCTGCACTTCTTTCCTGGTCTCACTGAAAATAGCAGCAGGTGGTAAATGTGAACTACTTGCTGAAATTTCTCTTGATGAATTCTCTGAAAGGCAGCCCACTGTTTTAAGGCTTCTTTGTAAACCTGGAATAGCTTGATGTTAAGATGTTTGAGTTTCCTTTAATTCTGAGAGTGTGTCTATGCTGCAGCACTGGTGTGTCTGAGGAGGGTGCTCTCAACATGTCCTGCCCACCCACTTGTAACCAAACTGAGAAGTGCACCTTGGACATTTCCTTGTGGCTACTCTCAAGACCACGGTCTCCACAGTGCTTGAAACCAGCTACAAGGGATGGCCCCAGCATGTGTGAGTAGGTATGTGTGGTTGGGTGCTTGAGAACATGTTTCCCTAGGCATGCTGGTGATGAGATGCAGCAAACCCTAAAGGTCCTTGATATGGGAGACCTGGTTTAATCCCTTCCTCCACCTTATTTGGGTTCAAATCAGGTGGAGAAATGGCTCAAATGTGCGTCCTCCCAGCTCTCAGGAGGGTGAATGACACTGGATGACACTGGATGACATATTCTAGGGTGGTCTCTCTCAATCTCTCCTATAGAAGCTGTCCCACTTTCATATCTAAAAAGCAGAGATCAGTATCTGACTCTCCCATATTCAAACACCAACCACTCAATTAGAGTCAATTGTTATTATTTTCCCTTCCCTTTCCCTATCTTCAGTGACTATTTAATTATGAATGTAAAGCAGATCAGGATCTACAGGAGAGATGGAGAGAGCTATAATTCAGAATCCCCTATAGTCAACAGATATGGGCACCTTCCTAAGAGCTGCAAAATGTAGGCCTGAGACCATATTCCAAATGTGGCAGAGGTTGGATTTGAATCTGGGTCTAGAAGGCAAGCACTTCACTAAGCAGATGAAGTTTAACACTTCCAAGTGCAAGGTGCTCTATCTGGGGGCAAACAACTCTCAACATACAGACAGGCTCGGTGGTGACAGCTTGACTTGCACCATGGCCGAAAGGGACCTGGGGGTAATGACTGACCATCGCATGAACATGAACCATCAGTGCGAGGCGGTGGTCAGCAGGGCAAACAACATGCTGGCATGCATCAACCGATGCATCTCATATAAAACCAAGGAAGTGATAGTCCCACTGTACTCAGCACTGGTGAGACCACAGTTGGAGTACTGTGTCCAATTCTGGATGCCGCACTTCAAGGAGGACATGGAAAAACTTGAGAGGGTCCAGAGAAGAGCCACCTGTATGATCAGGGACTTGCAAGACAAGCCATACAAGAAAAGGCTGAGGGACCTGGGCCTCTTTAGCCTAAAGAAGAGAAGGTTGAGAGGGGCTTGATAGTGTCTTACCGCTATATCAGAGGAGTGCATCAGGAGCTTGGTGAACAACTGTTCACTAGGACACCCCTGGGGAAGACCAGGACCAATGGATACAAACTCCTGGAAGGCTGCTTCAGACTTAATACCAGGAAAAACTCCTTCACAGTCAGGGTGTCCAGACTGTAGAATAAACTCCCTCCAGAGGTGGTGCAGTCACCTACCCTGGAGGTTTTCTAGAGGAGACTGAACAGTCACCTCGCTGGAGTCACCTAACCCCAGTTGTCTTCCTGCCTAGAGCGGGGGGGCTGGACCCGATGATCTGCAAGGTCCCTTCCAGCCCCTAACCATCTACGAATATATGAACTAGGATACAGGGTGTAAAGTGAGAGGACTGATAACACTCCCCTCTGTCTGTGCTTTGAGGGTGCCTACCAGCTGTTGCCCTGCACATAAGCTGGATGGAAGAATGCACTGACTATACATCTTGAGGAACCTTAGCCTTGTGGTTGGCCAAGCATCTCAACACTATCAAGACCCAGGCAGTGTTGCAGTGCCCATGCCCAGGAGCAGCAATTTATGTACCTGTAGAATGTCATTGCCGCTAAGGGGGCTGAGGATCTAAATGGTGGACTGAAACTTTGTTGGAAAAAAGGGGGCTCTGGTGTTGGTGGAGGATTCTAGGCACTAGTGTACTCTAGCTAAAGAAAAAAAGAGAAAGAAAACTTACACAACCAGTAGCAAAGGGTAGTGCACAGTGTCTGCAAAGGTTGCCGGTTTTAAGATTTGCAATGGCAGTCCTAGGCAAAAGCAACAGATAATAAAATAGTTTTAGTACGGAAATGTCAACATAACTATAATAGATTTTTATGGTGTTATAGTCGTATAACAGGAATAAAATTACATTTCATAAGATACTCTGATAAATAACATTCTAGAAAGATATGTGTTGTCAAGAATACGGCTCTCGTTGTAATAACCACGGTGACAAGAAATTTAAAATTAGAGTGCAGTGTGACCTGTTCAGTCAGGCATCACTTATACAACATGCAATTAATACCTAGCAAAAAGCTATAATTTTCCCTTTAGGCAGCTGGATGAATGACATAGCCAAGAATCAATACTATTGGGTGGTGGGGGAGGGAGGAAGGAGTGAAAAAGGATCGTTTAAGAGGAAGCAGGCTATAAATGCCAAATAAAACGTAGTCGATGGCATGGAAGATTTTCTTGCTTTAGGGGTTTAAAGACAGTTACAGGATTTCCCTTGTAATCCTAAATTTCAGGGGTCCAATTTTGAGCTCGCTTACTCTGGTATAATATAAATCAGGAGGTAACTCAATTGATGTCAATGAAGTTACACTGGTGTCAAATTAGTGTAAGAAAGAGGTGAGTTAGCTCCAAGTTGTGCTACGGCACTTGCCAGAACTTTAACTGCAGCTATATGCTCTTCTTGGCCACACGCTGGTATGAGAATATACTTTCACGTCAACACTTTCTATATTCACAAAAGCTCATTTGTTTTCAAAACATTAACTACAGTCCAGATGACCGAAGGCGCAGCAATTAAATCAGTATCAGCACCAGTTTCAATAGAATTAATACACAGATTAACCACCAGGTTTAAGTGGTCTGTTTTGCAGTCATTTTCTGACACTCAGTCTAATTAGTTATTCCATCTGAATGCTAATGGACTGCAAACTGGATTGATGGAAAAGACAGCTCCTTGATTTTAAAGACACATAACCATGGCAGGCGCTGTTCTGGGTCCCATTCAGCCTTTTGGGCAGATTGTGGGAAACGCGGCGAGGGAACACGAAAACATCCACATGGTTATTGTCTACTCGTATTACACAAATGCCCGTGTGCACGCATACGTATGTGTACACACAGTGAGCCAGAGCAGACAACATTTGCCGTTAAGAATTTTAGCAACAAGTCTTGAATTGTTTGGAATAAATGCAAACTATAATCAGGAGATGGTTCAAGCAACCTGGATAGAGCTGGTTGTTGTCAGTGTTATATCCCTGCTCCCAGCGCTGCTCAGCTCCCAGCTGTCCCCAGGCCCAGGCAGTGGGGAGCTCTCTGTCCCCTCAGCCTTGCTGCTGCTAGCGCAGCATGTCAGCTTCTGCTCCCTTCCCATGCTTGGGGAGAGCCAGGAGCTGAGCAGCGCTACAGTTGCAGTCAGCTCCCTCCCCTGTTGCCTAAGCTGAGCGGGAGCAAATTGTACCCTATCAGCATCTACACATGCACTACTGCACAGTAGCTAATGCGCCATTAATCTAGTGCCTGTATTTGTCGGTACTAGTAAATGGCGCATTAGCCTAATTTACTGTGCAGTAAGTCCTGTGCGTGTGTAGATGCTGATGCTTTGCTGTGCATTAGATTAGTCTAATACACAGTAAAGCATTTTGTGTAGGTGCACCCAGTAACACCCTCTCCAGCATACCTTATAGCTTACTGTCATTCCATATCATATCTGAAGGGATGTATTATATTACTCTGCCTACACTAGTCCTCAATTACTCCAATCACAAGGAAAATGTTAATGGCCACATTTTCAGACCTGCCTTCTTGGTTGCTTCTTCAGAATTGTCAAGTATCTGCAGAGAGGAGGATTGCTGGGAACCATTAAACATTTGGGAGAATCTGAATGAGGGTTTTTTGCACATACGCGCGTGTAACAAAACATGCTCTTACAAATGCTGCAGGTGCAGGAAAGGAAGCTGGTAGGGAATATTTGGACTTTTAGGACCTAACTACATCTACTTGGTATATTTGCTGGTATCTTTGCTCCCATCCTTTACTTTTCCCCCTCTTTTGCAGATAGATGTGGAGAGAATACTTAATTAAGAAGTGGCACCAAAAAAAAAAAAAGATGCTAATTTAAACAGCTCTAAGACTCATTCTTCTCTATTGCTCATGCTTTTGCCTTTAAACTTTTGTTTCTCTTCCAATTTCTAACACTTCGTGTGGTTTTCATGGAAAAGTTTTCATTATTGAGACTGAAAGTCTTTACCACGGCTGTTTCCCCATTGGTGATTACTGCTCAAATTCACTGCAATTTACTGCTTTGTAGTAAGAGGCTGCTGCACTTGGAGCTAAAAAACACATGCAACATACCGTTTCAAACTTATCTTCAATAATAAACAGGCCTGGCTGGAGAGACTGCCTCTTGCATTAGAGGCAGATCCACACCATGTCATTTCCCAGTGTGTTTTTTTTTCTTAAAAGATAAAAGTTATATTTATCTTTTTTCCTTCTGTCTGTTCTCATAATGACTTCCTTCTACACAGAGTGTACGGACGCAGAGCTGCCCAAAGTGGCTGCCTTAATTGAGAACCAAAGTCATTTTTTCCCCTGCCAATCTAGTTCAGATGACTGTACCGTTTCAGAGCAATAACATTAAAAAAGAGGACAGACACACAGACTTACTGTAATCATCTATCTTGATTTCCATGTACTCTACTTTAGGCATTTGCCTATCACTTACAGCCAACTGCACATTTTCATTCACCTCCAGCTCAAAGATTTCTGAAAGAAAAAGGATGAAAACAACACAGATGTAGCAGTTCATGGACATAGCCTCTTAACATTTTATGTAAGCCCTTCATGTTTGCAATGCAAATTTCTTTTAGATGCACACAGTCCTCACAAAAGCCTGTGATGTGAGATGCACAGTTAAAATGCAGAGGTTACTTTGTACCCTTCTAAAACCTACATCAGATCCAGAGATGTTCATTATCATCCATGGACCAGATGAAGTTCTGGTGTAAACTGGCATCCACTGAAACTCATGAGGTACTGCACTGAGACCAGCTGAGGATCTAGCCTTCAAAATCAAGTTGCTGTAGCAGGGTTTCAGTCTTGGACAAAACAAAGACAGAGACAACAATGAGAAGGGTGGAATCCGTGGATTTTAAAAGCTCACTCTGGAGCTCACACTGAATGGGAAAAGAGGATATTTTTCTTCAGTGCACAAATGTACATTTGTTCAGATTTTCACTCTAGAGGAAAATATTCTGTTGGCGAGTTCTCCAGGCATGGGGAATCAATAGTTAGCAGTCAGCAGTCTCTAAATAGAGCATCATCCACTGTCCACAGCACAGCTTTGCAAATCATAGCTAAGCTGTCTTTCCATTTTAAAATCATCCTTAGCCTTACTCTACAGACACGCACAAAGACCAACATGAAGGGATGCTGCATGCGTTGTGGAATAATTTTGCTGCTAAAAAGACTAAACCCTAGGTTTTGGAAAATATCCGAGTATCTCCGTTATGGATGTCCTACTTGCAGCACCCGGGAGAGAGGCCGCCCAGCTCCCGCCACCTCTCACGGGATGCTCGGGTGCTAGATAGTGGTGTGGCTCTACCCTGCAGGCATGCCAGGCAGTTACCTAGGGGGACACATTCCTTTCAGCTGTTTCGCTGCCTCCTGTTGAGCTGTCCCTTCCTCCAGAAAGATGCTCACCAGGTGCCACCTCCTTCCCTCCCGCCCAGGCTGCAGCTGAATGCTGATCAGCTGAGCCGTTTCCTGCTGGGCAGCAACCTCAGTCCTATTATTATGGAGCCTATTACGCTAAAGATAGTCTCCAGCTGGCCCCTAGCTCCCAGGCAGTAGGCCAGCAGCTATGTTCCTCCTTTCCGAACAGTGTTACAACTGATCTGGAGCAGCTCTTGTGCTCAGCCGAGCGGCCGACTGCTCGGCAGAGCTCGGAGGGATGCCCAGCAGCAGTGTGCGGTAGGGGGAGAGGAAGCCAGGGCAGCGTGCAGTCCAGGTTCTGCTCTTGACATCTCTGGTAAGACTCACTATCTTTTTCCCTCTCCTTGAGGGAAGTCCTACTTTTCCCCGTAACTTGCAAGGGCTGGATAGATCTAACCATAGCCACACTTTGGGATCTTGATGGTACCTTCCTGGTCTGGGAGCTTGCAGCTTGTCAGGGTCAGTCCAGAAAAACAAAGTCTCTGCAGGGATGCTATCAAATGAGCAGGTATCAGCACCAACACATCTCCAACCAAGTACTTGCCTGGTCCTGGCTTCCTTTATGTCCATCCAGCTGTAACTCCCTAATTCCTAGATGCTGTGGTAGAGGCCTCAAAACAGATTAAAAAAGGGACTGTAGTGAATTCATCTGCTTGAGTCTAAAATGTAGATGCTCAAAATCACTGCCCGGGTGCTTCCTAACCCCAAAGTTGCATAACCTCCATAGGTACCTCAATTTTCAGCATGACGTTGAACACCTGTGTAGATGATTGATATTTTCCCTGTCTGCATATCCAGAAGTGCCTCCAGCTTAACAGGTCTGCACAGCTCAGTGCCTACCTGAAGACTTAGTCCAATCTGGATGCAGAAACCAGGCATGATTCCCCCGGGGAAAAGTTCCACCTTCCCCTCTTGAAGGGCCTATTGATCCTGTAGGGCTTCTTGGAACATGCAACCAATTGGGCTCTGCAAAAATGTAGTGACCAACATCACTTTGAAAATACAGGCTTGGGAGAGGCAGTGGTAGTGCTACCAGTCTCAGCCCCAGCTCAGTGATTTGATTAGTATATTCTTCCAGGATGTGGTAGACCCTGCTTTGATTCCTATCTCTGCCAAACCCACCCTTCAGCTATAACCACCTGGCTTTACGCTAGGTTTTATCCTGGGTAAGGGCCCTCTCTAACCCTCTTCTCTACATGCCAGGAGAATTAAAATTCACGAGGCGAGTGGCAGAAAGCAAGTACTAAATGACTGCGCAGTAACACCCGAGCAGTCCGCCGCACATGTAGACGTGCCCAGAGTCATGCCACCTCTTGCTTTCTCTCTCTGGTCCAGCGAGTCACGCTCTTATGCAAAATGGAAGAGCTTTTACAGGAAATTTGGAAAATTTCTCCCCATTAGCACCAAACGATCCTGAGTCAAGTGTCTAGTCAGCTGAGGGTTTGAACCCCCTCAGACAGAAAGAAAAATAAACTGCACCTCCCACATGCTGGGGAAATACTCTAACCACTGAGATATTGTATAATAGGGGACACCTGCCACCCTTGGAAAGAGGGACTCCTGCTGTGTTTGTGAAGCGCCCGTTTTCCGGAGAACACTCGGGGATGTTAATCCAGAGTGACCGGAAATGATTCCTAGTAGGGTGGAGTGAGGAGCCTGAGCCCCGGGAAGGGGTGGATTTAAGGCACAATCCCGTCCTCACTCTTTTTCTATTCGCTAGCTCTGGGCAGCTCCCCGCTTGGCAGACTGGCTTTTGTGTCTCTCATTCTCACCCTTCACAGGACTCATATAGGAAGCAGAGGTAATCAACTCAGCTATCGAGGCCAGGCACCTAAAAAGTTAGGTATCGCAGAGCTCAGCATTGGACCTGGCCCCTAGTGCCGGAGCTCTGACACAAGATCCCTTCTCGACAGAGAGGCAGTTCACTCCTCCCCTCCCTTCTGTGATATACGGACTCTGACAAGGGAAGGTCGGGTTCGGTGGCTTTGAGTCTGAGGCAGGTTTCTTCTGCTTGCCTGGAGGCATTAGCCTCCATCTACAAGGACATCTTCCACAGGACCCATCCTTCAGTTCACCCTAACGCAATCCCTCTTAAAATCAAATCTGGGTTTGCCAACACCTTCAGTGTCTTTCAGCTGAGGATCAGACCCAAATGTTTTTCTTCTTTGGGATGATTATAAATATGCCATATTTAATATCAAAGTCCAGATATAATATGGAACCTCCCAATGCTAAATTACACATTAAATTCGGTGACACTTATAGTTGCACACTGTTGTATCCTCTCCGCCCACAAAAATAATACTATAAGTAGTTCGTGCTCATGTCCTGACTCATATTTATCTGTGCCACTATTCAATGACTATAAAAGCAGGCACGACACAAAAACATGCTTTTCCAGTGATTTAATGCATTTCACAGATCTTTCAGCGAGTGGCTATATCGGTTCAAAGACTATTCAACTTGTTTCTGAAAAGCCTGCCTCATCTCTATTGAAATCGTAACCCCCACAAAAGCTCCAAAGCAACAGACTATTAAGTTTAGTTAAATATTAGGATTCTCATTTAATTATGGCCCACACAACTAGCTTTATCAGCAGAAAGAGGTCTGCCACACAGGGGAGTTCAGTAAAGCCATTTTATTTGTTCATATAATTGCATCCAGAGAAAGGCAGAAACAGAGTAGAGGAAATAAGAAAAGACTGGCATATCTCCTAAAGGACCCTCTTTTCTGCTTTAGGGCCATAGGGAACCCTAGCCTGTGAAGTACAAATGGTCATTGCTTAATTAAATGTAAGCATGCTATAATAGTCAGTGCAACTCACTATTATCAGATGATTGCAGAATACCGAGACAAACTCCCTTTATGGAGTAATGCCTTAAAATTAAATAAATACATTCAGTAACATCCAACTGCCATCATTACCTCCTTTATTCAAAAGCAACAAAATGCTGGAAAATGAGGGACCAGGGGAAATGCTAATCAAATGCAAAAATCAGATATTTTAGTACAGAGGATGAGTTTTGTGTGTGCCTGCATCTAATTATCCATGCAGCAAATACTATCACTCCCCAAGTGCACTACAGCTCTGGCATGTTTTATACCCCTTACTCTAAGCATTTTATTTGCTTTTAATATTCTATGGTTGCTCTTATAAGAGACACCTCAGAGTCATTTATAATAATATACACAGGCGTACAATTCTCTGCCATTGCCATTGCAATTCTCTTTTCTGTACGTGGTGTTTTGAGGAAAAACAAACTTCTTGGTGTCAAAGGAAAAGGGGGAAGCTAAGATCAGGAGCACTCATTAGAGAAGAGCTCATATAATTCCTCCCATCCTTAAAATCACAGTTCACCAAGTTAACAAAGCACACGACTGGGGAAAGGGTTTCTGGCAGCCTTTCAGACCAGGATGAAAAATTGAGCCAGTAGAAGCATAAAGGGTATTCTGGTGAACTTTAGCAGCCTAAGTACCAGAAAGACATTCAACCTGTCTCTGCACTAGGGGCCCCCAAACTCAATATATGCCTAAAGGCATTAGGTGCCTCCTTTTGGACTGTAAAGTTCCCCTAAGCACCTAGACTGTGGCTCTGGGATGCCCATTTCAAGCACTTTCTTTAGGCTCTTTTGTGATTCAAACTGGTGCAGAGAGGTGCCCAGCCTCTGCTTATGTCCCATAACAGGTCCCAGCTATATGTAAGGAAAAACCTGCCATGTCTAGCAACCCTCTGGAACGCAGCCTGGACCTTGTCATCTCATACACAGGCTGCTGATGCAGGCAGGGGGTGCAGACAGCCACCATACAAGGCACATGGGGCCACTAGGATCAGGCAAGGTTCAGGCATACCATGGGAGAATCAGAGACAAGATGCCCAAGAGGAAGACAATGAAAAATACCTGGCAGAGTTTGCCTGGCTCTGAGTGGACTGCTTGCCATGACACAGGCAGGGCCGTATGGATGCATAACACTACTCACTACATATACATTACTCCAGTCCTCACCCTCTCATTGTGTGCTCTGCTCCAGCTGACCAAGCAGAGCACCACGGCACACCCTCAGAAGGTGCGGTCCCGGCTTGCTGCATCCTTCACCACCTAGCCATGCTATATGGCTGAGGGGGGAAGCATGTCAGAAAGGGGATGAGGAGCTGACAGAAGACAACAAGGAGGAACCGAAGCCCAAAAAGAAAGAAGGGGAAGGCTGCAGAGCCAGAGGGTCATAATTCAACCCCAGAGAAGACTCAGAGAAGAGCTCAGGTATCCAAGCACTTTGCTGCTCTTGCTCGTTGGGCAGGGGAAGAAGGAGGATATGGCTGGAACATACGATTTTTGGCTCGTGCTCCTTGTTCCTGTCGCCTGCGTGGAAATAATGGAAAGCCAAACTTGAGGCGAGTGCAAAATACCTTTCAGTTTATAAACAAAATGTCCTAGCTGGGCAGTGACTCCCCACAAATACACAGGCCAAATAGAAAGGACTGAGGAAAGAAAAGGGGCAGTTTTGGCTTAGGCTTACTAGCCTAAATGGAACAAAAAGGTAGCTTTTTCTGCAGGAATGGTGAAGGAAACCTGACTGTAAGAGATCAGATCTGGTATGCCTTTCCATAGGCAGGGGCGGCTCTGTCCTGGCCCTGGGGACTTGATCCAATGATCATCTGATCCGTGGGATTGGGCAAGAGGCAGCCCCAGGTCTGGAGCATGCGTCACACGTTCACTTTGAAGCGGGATACAAACCATTCAAGGAGGTGTTTAAATCTTTCTGGCTGGTTTGCCATTTTATCCCACCATAAATTGTTTGCACGTGTGGCATGTTACAATTTGTGTCCATAACATGATAAATGTAACCTCTGGCAGGGGCATTTTCCTTCCTTACCCATAAAGCCCCTTGCAGGAAGAAGTGATCTGGTGCTACCATTGCTCGCTGTGCTTGTGTCCACATGTTTCCATACAGGATGCTTCAGCGCTAACAGCATCATTTAGCTCTTATACAGCACTTCTAATCCATAAATTTCAAAGCTCTTTACAACACAGGTAAGCATCACTATCCCCATTTTCCAGAAGGGGAAATCAAGGCATAGAGAAGCAATATTATGTGGCCCAAGGTCACCCAGCAGACCAGGAGCCAGAGCCAGGAGAAGAATGAAGGTGTCCTGGTCCAATGTTGTATCCATTGCATTTCACTGCATTAAGCATTTTTGTCAAGGATTTCATTTTTGTCTCACAGACACAACCTCTCCCAGGGACACTGCTGACTTCTGTTCACCTCACTTATGAGAATTTGTCCATGAAGAACAATTTGAATTTAAAAAGGGAAACTGGAGGGGGTGGCCAGCTGGACATTATGGTGAAACGTACAGCACATCTTCTCTGACAGCATCCAAACTGAAGCCTGCTCTGTTACTTGGTATTTGTAAGTCACCCACAAAAGCTGCATTAGGTCTCAAATCTGACTTACGTTGCACTTTGATTGACCCATTTTTGCATTTCTATTCAACTGTGCCTAGGCAAGCACTGGCCTTTATTTGTTGCTTCCTCAAACATCCCTGAACATCTAAAGTACTCATCTTCTCTAACTCTAATTTTGCATCAACATAATTGCATTCCTATAGGAGATTTAAAAAAATTCAGATAAACATCTGTGGCAGTACATTGCAGGTTGTTTCTGTGCAAGGCTCTTCTATACAGGGGGAGGCAAGGAGATAGATCATGAACAAGGAGAATGCAGAGAGCAGCATGCAAGAAGTCATGTATTTTGGAACTGGGAGCTTTTCTTTAACACTGATACTATGTAGGCCCCAATTCTGTTTTTAATAGGAGATGGAGCAAGGGGTGAGAGTAGATTTCATAGACATTAGGGCAGAACGGACCTCATAAGATCATTGGGTCCAGCCCCCTGCCCAAGGGGCAGGAAGTCAGCTAGGGTCAAAGGATCCTGGCAAGATAAGCGTCCAGCTGTTTCTTAAAAGTATCCAGAGTAGGTGCCTGCACCACCTCTGGGGGGAGCTTATTCCAGGCCCTGGGGGCTCAAACTAACAAAGTTTTTCCTTATGTCCAGCCCAAAACAGTCTTGCAGGAGTTTGCGACCATTGGACCTCGTCATCCCTTGGGGCGCTCTGGTGAGCAGGTGTTCCCCCAGATCCTGATGCACACCCCGATGTACTTATAGGTGGCCACCAGGTCCCCCCTGAGCCTGTGCTTCTCCAGGCTGAAGAGTCCTATGGCTCTCAACCTCTCTTCATAAGACCTGTTCTCTTGCCCTCTGATCATGAGCCTCTTCTAGCCTGTTCTATGATTTTATGGTTTATCTGACGGATAGGGTCCATGAAGCAATGTTAGATTGTTTAAAATGTAGAGGCTTGTTATTATTAGGAAACGATATTGCTGGCTACTCAGCCTCTTTCATACTATTCCTATGCTTGGAAAAATCTGCCCCCTTTCTCTGTGGTGACCTCTTCCCTTCCACTTCACTAAAGCAGGGATGTCAAACATATGGCCCGTGGAGGGGGGTCATCTGGCCTGTGAGGCTGTTCGTGGACCAGATGATCCACTTCCAGATTCAGCCCAGGGGCTACTGGAGCAATTGTGTTAGTGTGGCTCAGGAACCCCAGGGGTTGACACTGCCCCCACTCCCCCCTTTCTCTGTGGTGACCTCTTCCCTTCCACTTCACTAAAGCAGGGATGTCAAACATATGGCCCGTGGAGGGGGGTCATCTGGCCTGTGAGGCTGTTCGTGGACCAGATGATCCACTTCCAGATTCAGCCCAGGGGCTACTGGAGCAATTGTGTTAGTGTGGCTCAGGAACCCCAGGGGTTGACACTGCCCCCACTCCCCTCCCCTCCCCTCCCCTCCCCTCTCCCTGCTCCGTGGATTCACCGTGAATTCGTTTTTGTCACCACTAGCACCTCTTTTGGGAAGCCCGCTCATGATTGCTGCTTGGGTCTGCCCACGCTCCTGCATTATGGTGTCAACCTACCAAGGAGGGACTGTAATGCGAGTGAGTCTAATTGTAAATACTCAGTGAAAGGAACTGGCCTTCTTGCTTTGTGTGTATAAAGATCTTGGCGCATTTAAAGGGAAGTTACACTTATCAGAGGGGCAGAGTGAGGTACTGCCCAACATGGACATCCTTTATCAAAATGCTCTTTCAGCTGAGAATCAGCCCTGTTCCTCAGCGGGGGATCCCTTGGGATTCTCTCACGGCAGAAACAGAGGGGTGGGTGGTAAAAGGTAGCACCCACACTTATCAATGAAGGGGTCAAGAAAACGTTGACTCCCAGAAATGCTACACTAATTTTGGAGGTTCACCAAATCTATCCCAAGAACTGCGTTACTCTCTTCTAGCCTCTGACAGCTTCGTGGGGGCTGGACTATCTTTCCTTTCCCTAGCAGTTAAACTAGCTAGGACTATCTCTGCAAGATTTCAGCATTAGTTCATGTTAATAGACCCATCCCACATTTCAATGGTGTTAATGAGAATTCATTACCCTGGCAACACTCCTGAAAAAGTGGCAAGTATCACCATAATTTCTTGCATACAGCATGTCCTCAGAATAAAACAGGCACCTTGTTTTTGAGAAGCAGAATGAAGGGGGGAAAAGATATTTCCTTGCACTAAGCAACTGAGTACAAGCAGCCCAAGTGGGGCTGGAGTTTGGTGGGCAGCTCCAGTGGATTTTCACAAGGATGTGGGCCCCAAACTGACCTTTGTGCCTTTGAAAATCCCCTACCTCAGTAATACTTACTATTTGAAAGCAGAGAGACAGCATGATGACAAATCTGATTGCCATTTGTGACCATGCTCCATATCCTGATTATTTCTCTCATGGATTTGGCTCACAGTGTTAAAGCTGAAGTGTTTCCCGTAGAGCCGGTGGTATAGCAGTATGGCCCATGGAGACTACAGTCACTAAAAAGTGATGCTCTTTCTTTCTTGGGGTGTTTCAAACAATGGGATACACTTACAGGCAAGATAAGCATGGCCTGCTTGGACTTCTAGCCTCCGTGGGTTATTCTTCTACACCAATCTGCTGTTATTACTTATTTTTTTGTATTATGATGGTGCCTATCAGTAATCAGGACTCCACTGTGGTAGGTGCTGTACAAATGCTTAATGAAGGCCACAAAGAAGTTACAGTATAGGCTTCAAAAGGATGCAAGAGGTAGATGAAACAAGATGGGAGAGCGGAGGAGGAGAGAATATTAAAACATGCATATCTAGCAGTAGTGAGCTTTACTCCTAGCTCACTGCCAGCCTAGCAGGCTGTTCCACTTACTAAAAATTAGTTGTGGCACGTTAGCTGCTGCCAGCTAGTCCATGCTGCCCACACTTTGGCAAAGTCTGGGCTACACCAAGGTAAGTTTCCGGAAGAATGGCAATATCTTTGAATGGACCAAGTGTCTATTTGGGAGGGATATAGGCAAACTTTCAGGTAGTGAGTACCCTTCACGCTACTTGTTATCCAAAAGTTTGCATATATCCTTCCCAACTCTATAGCTGGCCCATGGAAAGACAGGACCTACAAAAATCCTTGCCTCTAGCATTTTTCCTGGATCATCAAGGCTACCACATCACTGCAATACTACCAAAGAACAGTGACATTTTATCACATTGCCTTGTGTCTTTTCTTTAACGTGTTACAAAGCTCAGCCTGTTACTTACTTTCTGTATCTGTTGTGTTGTGAACAGTCACTATGGGAACTCTTGGACCTTGAAGAAAAAGAGAAAAAAGGCATTTGATGAAAAATGCACAAGTGCAGATATGTGTGTACAAATATGTTTATACAGATGAACTTGCTTTTGAATTTCTTGAAGCTAGAGACCGCTGAGAATTACATTTCATGGAAGAGCAATCACAAGAAAATCACCCAGGTATTAGTAGCAGTCTATGAGTAAATGACAGATCTGTAAACTCCCAGATGTGTGAGGTTTCAAAGCCCTTTCCCAGTGGGCTGCTAAATGCATCTCTCTCTAATTTGTAAACATTATAATTAGCACAAACACAATTAAAATACCTTGCTTTTTAGATTATTCTAATGACACACAGACATCATTACACAAAGCATTTACATTTTATATGCCCTAGATAATAGTTGCTGTTACAGAGACACTACATAACCCAGCCCGATCTCCTCCTATTTATTTGGTTCCAATAATAAAAAAGATCACCAGCTTCATCCTCCATGTGTGATATCTGGCTACTGAGATCAGCCAATTTTGCAAAGAGGATTTTGACCCTGATTCTTATTCTTCTGTTGTAGCAGCAATACTGAGCACGCATAAATACATGGTGTCCTCAGGTGCTGTAGAAATTGTGGCAAGTGCACTACACACTTGCAAAATGTGGGCAGCAGCTAAGTGAAAGAATTTAACCATTGCTTGGCAGGAGAACTGAAATTAAGGACCAAACCCTGCCATTGTTGCTGAAGGTAGCATGTGGAAGGTAGGTATGTAGGTAGAAGAGGGATGGGTGGAAAGGTGGGATCTGCCAGTCCATGCTGGGAGTTCAATGAGACAGACGGGTATGCTGTCACTGATGTGTTGATGTCGATGGGGGAAAAGCTCACTGATGGTCACATAGTGTCATCCAAACCCCAGAGATTTTGGTTGACTTGTTCTTTTCTTCTCCCAGTGGTGCAGACATAGGGAGCAGTAACGAAGAGGGCACCTGGCCACACTCCCAGCCAACTATGTGGTGGAAGGAAAGCAAGGTGCTCCTGGCACAGGTTTCCATCCTGAGCTGCTGGCTCCAGTGCCAGGCTTATCGCCAATGCAGCTCCTTTCTCTGCAGCCAATGCAAGCTCATATCTTAGAGGCAGGGCTTTGCTCTGAGCAAGCATAGCATGGATTTCCCACACAAACTGTGACTGTTATGTGGATGGGTTGACAGCAGAAACTGCAACATTTAAAGTCAACTGCTTAGGAAATGGAAGAAGGCTGGTCAGAAACCTTTTCTCCTCCCTCCCTTAAAGGTGGCACTGGAGGAGTCTCAGAAAGCCTGGTGCCTGTCTGCCGTGCCCCTGTGTTGCCTTGACCAACAGAACGTGGAAAGTGAGCTCAAAGCCTCTGCAAAGGGCTTCATCCTGAGAGGTGGCAAATGTTCACACCCATTGCCACCCATGCACTTAAACCCAGGCGTAGTTTTCAGTGCTTCCGTCAGCTCATTCAAATGAACTAACTTCAATTTGCAATGCTCATCTCTTTTCAGGACCAAGGCCTGAACCATGGTCCTGGTTAAGAAACTAAATCCATATGACAGTGCTGTTATTTTGCTTGGGAGTATTGCCCCCCTGCTTCTCTGCGCTGGAGTGGCCCAGGGGTGGGTGTCACCAGGAGAGGCCCGGGGAGAATGGTAGGAGAGGCTCAGGTGGGGGGAAGAGGGGGCTGCCAGGGATTCAGAGTTACTATGTAGGTACAAGGCCCCTCTTCTCCTACAGACCACACAATTTCTTTAAGGATTGTAGGTGCTTTATGCAGGGAGTAAGTCCTGACCAAGCCCAGTGACATGATGCAAGAGAAACTCCATGAGAGGGAAGGTGCAGAGGAGTCCTGGCTCCTATCCCCTTATAGTGAGGGCAGAAAGGGGTGTGTAAATGGGCTGGGGTTAGTTTGATGCTGTGCAGGTGGGCTTTGCTCCCTTGGGAGCCCTTCAGCCAGTCCTTGTAACAAAAGGCAGTAATTCTTGGTCCAAACAAATAAAACAGCAGAGCAAGCCATCAGCCTTTCTCTAGGCAACAGATCCCAACACACTTTCCAGGCACCTGATATTCAGATAACCCTTAGTACCTGCCTTTTGCAGGTACTTTAAGCACCCAAGGTTACCAGTCACTTTCCCAAACCTGGACCGCAGGTTTTTGTAGACCCACTGGCAACTTTTCCACTAAATTTTAGGTTTACAAAAAAAGGGGGGGGGATGAGGGGGAGGGCTTTGTTCTAAACAGAATAGAAACTCAAACATTTTCCCAGAAAACTATGTGGTGAAGTCTATATTGGAAAATGTCTACTGGTCTAGGTCCAAAGCATAGCAGCAATCTCCTTCAGGAGAAGCTGTTCATACTGTCAGAGAAAGTACTTTGGCTGGTATAACTTAACCCAGTTCAGTGAACAAAATGAGCTACAGCAGGAAAAGCAATTTTATGGTTGTTTATGTTTCTGGCTACGTCATCAAAAAATCATGCCTTTTACTGACTTTGCTGTAGTGACAAAAGTGCTTCATTTAGCGCGGACCTGGGAAAATTAAAAAAAAAAAATTCATTTCCTTGAAAAATTTAAATACAAAACATTCCCCATTTTTCACCAGCTCTAGTTTTTTAACCATGTAAGATGTGCTGCCCTTAGTGGATACAGTGAATACTAGTTTTTATTTTGTTGAGGATGATTGCACTTGTCTGCATGTACAGAAGGAGAGGAAGTAACAGCCAGGAATGACATATTTTCTTCCCAGTACACAAAGAATCGATTGGGTCAGATTCTCATCTCCGTTCTACTCATGTAAATCTTAGGTGACTGTTTCATATGCAGTGGATTTATCCAGATGTATGCCATCATGACGAAGGTGAGAAGCTGACTAGGTCTCCTTCAGACAGAAAACATCTTGCGAGCAAGTTCATACCATTCTTCTTTCCAGACAGGTTTGCCATTTGTGCATTGCTAATCTACATGGAGGCAGAATAGGTTTCTTCATTGTGCTATTTGACTGAGGTGGCAGTTCTGATTTTCATTTTCTGTTAATAGAGAATTTCGTACATTAGCAATGCAATTCCTTTATCCTCTGTTTGTTAAATGGTTTTAGATAGAAACTGAATCATCAAAGAGAATAGACACAGAAGAGTAATTTTTTTTCTTGCAGATAATTGGCTGAGTAGACAGAGTCGGTTTCTAATGAATGGTAAATATTACTTAAGAGGGTGAAAGAGCTTTTCAGCTGCTTATATACAACAATGCACTAAATATATTTATAAAGCTATTCACCACTTCCCCATCAATCCCAGAATGAAAGCTTCTGGAAGGAAATGAACAAAGTACTATTCAGAAATTGTCTGGTTACATTTCCAAGGAACACAAAGGAAATTTTTCGATTGACTTCAATGGGAGCATAGCTAATATAGTAAATATTACAAAGAAGGTAATTTAAAAAGACAATGTATAAAAGCCTTTTATATTCTGATTTCTTTTTTTATTCCTCTTTGTGCTAACACTGAAAAAAGGTGAAGAGGTAAAAAAAAAAAAAAAAAAAAAAAAAAAAAAAAAAAAAAAAATCAGAAAAATCCCATTATATATTACTTTTCTTTGGCCTCTTTCCCATTTTCCTCCCCCCAAAAAATTGTAGAAAACTAAACAAAGTTCCCAAGATAGGTTGTCATAAGTTTCAGGACAAATGGTCACAGTACTCTTAGTAGAGTTATCTGCAGGGATCCTGGTTTGCTCTGATAAAAAAATCCCCAATTTTCAGATTTAAAAAAGTAACCCAAAATCCACATTTTTCCATGATTAAAATGAAACACTGCTAATATATGTATACATATTAGTGGTGTTTCATATATATATTAGTGGTGTTTCATATATATATAGTGGTGTTTCACCTTAACTATAGAAAAATGATACTTTTTAAAATCTGAACGTGGGGGACTTTTTTTTAATCAAAGAAAACTAGGATCCCTGGTTATCAGATGAATTTAGGAGATTGTTCCCGACCATTTTAGTTGAACATTTCAACAATTTCATATTTCAATATTTCATATATTTGCATGTTGCAAATATGTTGTTTTAATGCTCACTTTTAAAGTTGTGCCAACTAGTTGAAATGTTAACCTACTTCAACCTGGGGACATCTGAAGAAGCAAACTGCCTTTTAGCACACACCACATACCCGATGCCTAATGCTTGCCATTGTGAGAATGAAATTCCTGACATTTCTTTGGACTAATTCATTAGCAGCTTCCTCCTACTTCAGTTTTTTAAGCTCAGGCTGATGTGACAGTTGCACTGCACTCACCATCTGCTGAACGCCGTTCGCTGTCACTTGCAGATTGAACAGCAAAACCCAATTTGTTCAGTGAAATGTTCAGAGATGACAGAAGCGGAGCTAGGCTTTGCTTCCCACTCTACTTGCTCTCCGGAGTCTTTTCCCACACAAGTTTGATGGGACTCCCGAGTTTTCACACGTTCTTTTCCCCCTGCTTTTAAAATAAATACTGATGCCATTATGAGTTGGTCTGCCTACCCCGCGATACACCTTTGCTACACACTACACGAGGGCCAGATGTGATCGCAGGAAAGAAGATGAACAAAGAGGAAACCAGAGGGTAAATAGGAAGTTGGGTCTTCATGTTGCAGCAGAGTCTGCTCCTCACTTGTCTCAACTGGAAGCCAAAATATCCTGGGCCCTGGCAAATGCCTCCCTACCACTGTGTCATCCAGTTGGTGGGGGTCCCCATGGGTCGAGATTTGGTGGCAGGGGGCGAAGTGGCAGCATAAATTGCCAGAGCTGGATCTGGTGTGCCTGGCTGCTCTGAGGCCAGGTCTGGCACGCTGGCCCACACCATGTGCTCCTAGGCAATACTGGAATGAACAAGGCTGTAGAAATCCATTGTTACAGGAATAAGATTTCAATTAATAAAGCTAACAATTTGGCTTTATCAAAGAGGCTTTGATTCAGATGCTAAATTTCTGTCATTTTTCATGCAGGAAGTAGCATTAAGCTACATCAC